GCATGTAGTGTGTGTGTCTGTGTGTGTATGTCAGATTGACAATGTGAGAGTGAGCGGTTTTCTCTGCAGTTTTGCGATTCTAGAGTAGACGTACAGGGCTTGGAGTCAACACACACTCTTACCTTTTTCCCTTCCCCGTATATTAGGGGAAACTTGAGATCTTCATCCTCAATGGTCTTGTATGCCCTGTGCGCGAGGAAAGAAAAGAAAAGCAGACTGAGACAGGGAATTAATCTTTTCGTCCGTCGTGTCTGACACGTACATTCACATGAAAATAATATACACACATGCACACGCTTTGAAAAGTAGAGTAAGAAGAGCAAAATGAGACCTCTGAGATCTTAATTATACTATTTTAAACCTCTCCACAGTCAGCAGCTTCTACAGCCTCATCCTCAGGTGCATCATTACCCACCCAGACGCAACATAACCACCAGCTTCTGCCACCAGTGCTTGAGCAGGGCACCAGCTACTGTGCTAATGACATGCTGTAGCTGAGACTGTCAGATCAAATAAAAACAGAAATATGCTTAACCACATCTGGGTCCTTTTGTCTCTTATTTACCATCTCAACACCTGGAAGGGAAACTCATTATTAAAAATCTCATTGGCTGTACCACCATCATTAATTGACTGATTTGTACATTGAAATTGCACATTTAAATACTTATTAAAGCTGCACTTATCAATATTTTTATATTAGCAATGGATCTGTGTGTGATATGAAAAAATATCTGTGTCTAGATGCAGCGGCCGGTGGCTCCTTCAAACTTGCTACAATTGTGTTTTAATCTGTATCTCTGCTTTATTGCTGAAAACATCACTGAATGATGTCTGATTGGATTGGATCAAAAAGGCTCCGGAGGAGCAGAAGAGAGCCAAGATAGAAGCCATGCTGGGCCAGTTTAGTGAAAAAAAGTTTTACTCCAGCGATTTAGTATTGAAAGTTCTTAAAGTTGGGGGACTTGCCGGTGTACATTTTTAGAAAAGAATGGTCAAAATTGCTGCAGCAGACTGACTTTTACTTCAAAGTATCGAGCAAGCTCCAAAAATTCACTCTCCATAATGCAACTTGATAGCATAGCTTTGTAAGACCCTCCTTGTCTCTTTAATAGCCACATCTTTAAATCTCCTCACCTCAGTTTGTAATGCAGGTTTTCTGTTAAAAATGTCTGCATGGGCTATAACCCTGATAATATGATTAGTCTCCAACGATTGTCTCCAACGTTCTATTTAACATCAAACTGTTTTGACAAGTTGAGTAAAGTTGCTCAGGCTTATTTAATAAAACATATGTGGCCACTTCCATCCTTCCTGCAGGTCTTGATTCTGCGTCTCATAGCAAGAGTCTCTCTAGAGTGCAATAACAAGTGTTTTTGCTCCTGAAAAATTTAGCGAGTGAAAGTGAGCAAGCAAACACAGGCAACAACAAGAAATGAGTTCAGAAGTGCACAAATGGAAGCATAAGATCTGAAAACACACTTAGAAATGGAGCTTTGATGTCAGACTGAAAGGCTCCACGGCTGAGGCTGACGTACTTAAACTAGATAGATTAGACTTGGCGTCACCAGTCAGTGGAGAGTATAAACTTCAAACGGCTTCATATCTGACCAGGGTTTGCTCTGTCTGTCAGTCCGTGTCTCTCTCTGCTCATTTGTCTGTCTCAAAACCGAGACGTGTACTTTTCCTGACCCAAACGCAACACTCTCTTCCTGCCTGGCTTTTTTTCCCCCTTGTGCTGCAGAAGCAGAGATACAACTTCTTCATCCATCAGTCATCCTATCATCCCTGCTCGTTAAACTTAACACCTCTGATAGAGAGACAGTGAGTCACACAGTGCACTAATGTATCTTCCCACTGTTTTATCTGCAGTGTTAAGGGTTGCCAAATGAGAATGTTCACTATTGTCTTGCATTGCATTTTAAAGTTACACACCAGCTTCTCAAATGTGAGATGTTCTTGCTTTTCTGTTTTGTACTTCTTGTTGGTTGGACAAAACAAGCCATTTTGAAGATATGACCTTGGGCTGTGAGAAATTCTGATGAGCAGTTTCGCCCTTGAGTATCTCCATATGAATGCTGCCTTGCTCAAGGATCCAAGAATCCAGAATGGATAAAAAACAAAGACAGACAGATCTCTACATAGGGCTATTCACGTTTTTTGTGAGTTTCATGGCCACTGTAGTTTCTTGTTTGTACAGTTTCACAGTTTTTGTAAAATAAACATGTTTAAAGCTGCAATAATCAATATTTCTACATTACCAATGGATCAGATGAAAAGGGGAAGGTAAAAGGAGTAGATAGTGAAAAACCCACAGGGAATTATCACTCAACTCTGCAGGTTCCCCTCAGCTCCAGCATTTCAATGTCTTTAAGCTGATTGTTTTAGCTTTACAACCCACAAATTTAATGTTTTGGTTCACACGTACGTCGCTCATCAGTGTCATTTCAAGGTGCAGCTTGAAATAACACTGATGAGCTAAAGAGTGAATACTCAACTTACATGCAACTCTAAATTTATGCTAAGCAGCCACTGCACATGTATAAGCAACTGTTGCTAACAAGTTTGCTAGCTTAAATGTACTATTAGGAGTTTTAAACTAGTTATGAAACAGTCTCAATTAAATATTGATACCTGTATATGACCTACATAAACAACTAAGATTAACAGTGAAAAGATTGGCTATTCCTAAATAGTTCTTCTTAAAGCCGGCCATTGGAAACACTACTGCTTTTGTCTGCAGGGTCCGCCACAACCAACACTACAAGTTCCTTGTAGCTGCTTTAAGGTGATAATAAATGAATGCAACTTTAAATTTCTCAAAGTAAGGTATCAAAAAAAGTACTGTACCCAAAGTTAAGTATTACATCAGTGCCTGTGTTGAAAAAGTCAGCCAGTCCTTCAGAAATATGAACACAAACTACTTTTTTGCGTAGATGTGAAGAGAAACAACAGTAGTCCATGCAGCAGCACATCCTGGCTGGCATATTTCTGCTCCTGAGGGGTGATCTTGTGGTGAAATATACATCACACACCACAATACGCACAGTACTGTATGTGCCTCTGTGTGTCAGTGAGTGAGAGTGAGAGTGTCAGTAAAAGCACATCTCATTACTGGCTTCCACTGCAGCCACCCTCAAACAGCATGGTGCCTTGCTAACCCACATAACATCGCATATACAGGACCATCTCTGCTGTATCATTATATCAGCTTAGGCTGCTCCCTCGTTAGCTCTCTGCTGCTCTCTTCAGCTCTTACTGTGTAGAAGAGTGCAAGTAAAGGAGGGAAAGGGAGGGAGAGAAGCAGAGATGCAGACTAATGAAATCTTTTTTTCAGAATACAGTTTCATTTAAGGTGGATGCAACTGGAGAGGGCTGGAGTTTATAATCCTAGAACATTAGCAGGTTTCATTTCACAGGTACGGCAGGTCATTCGTCTCAGGCACACATTTTGAAGAGGCAGGAGTCTTTGTATGCTCAGTGAAAATCGTGTGCAAATGAGAAAATGAAAAAACAGAGGGGGAGACTTACCATCCATTCATTGTGAAATCTCTGTAGAGCATCCTCTTGCCCACCTCCTTCCTCTGAACTCTCCGGGGAAATTCCAGGTGTGTGAACTCATTTCCTAACAGGTGAGGCTGCATAAAACCCTGGAGGACAGATGTGGTCTTCAAGTCAGTCAAGCAGTCAAAGTGTGGCAGATTTTGAAATCAAATGAAAGTCATCTTCCATTGCTTTGTTTTTTTTTTTTTTTGCTCATTGTCACGTCACTTTTTATAAGCCTGACTAATACTGGAATGATGGGAATAAGTTACATTTTCTTCTTACATTAGTCAAGGCTGTTGTGACTGATGTGCAGACGAGGCTTTGATTGATGATTAAAGGGTGGAATTGAGGTCAATATAATCATCAATACCAGACATCTGCTCAACACACACACACACACACACTGGGGAAGGCAGAGCCTGAAATGTCTGTGTTGTGGACTGTTGTTGAGGGTTTATTCGGGGAAAAAAATGAAAAAGAAGAAGAAAATTTGTGAGCGCTCAGCCTGATGGATGTGAATTCCCTGCTTTTGCTTCAGGTTGGGAGCACCCTAAAGGATTTCAAGAAACTTAATATAAAGGCAGCAAGTAGAGACTGTTCCTTCCTTTGTTTTACATAACATAAAAAACCATATTATTATGTAGAATTGTACTGAGCAGGACATTTAACGGTTGAAAAATCTACTTGTCATTACACTCTGGTGGACAAACAACATAATGGAGATTCCTAATTATTTACTGGCAGACATACAGTATCTGCCAATATCAATAGATTTGTGAGAAGAATGTTGTCCATGCCAATGTTTTGGTCAGGCTCCACTTCTTTCTTAATATATGCTACTGTAATATATATCAGTGCAGGCAATATATGCAGAAAGAGCATTCGGTAATGAGCTTTCCATTGGCAACTGTTCATCCAAACATCTTTGACACATTTATTCATGAAATCAAAAAGAAGCATAGAACTGCAGAGACATGAGTCACTGCTTACTGCCACTGACTATAAAAAGGTCAATCACAGCCAGCTATTCTCAGCTGACAAGCTTGTTGAGCTGTTGCACAGCTCTGTAGGAAATTGATGGACTTGAAATGTCTTGCTGATTGTGTTGCTTGTTGTGTGAACACACAGTGAGAAGCTGTGGATGACAACAAGCACCGTTTCTCTGGTCAACAAAATAAAGTGAGTTCCGGTGCAGGGGGTCAGTTGCTAACTGTGTGTGTAGATTTTAGGTAGGCTAACATGGCTTTGTGTGACTTTATTACATATATTTGTCAAGCTTTGGACTAAAGACTAGGTGTGCAGAGTTTTCTTACCAGGAACTGCAGTCGCTGTCGTTCCGATTCTGGTGTGAACTCTGTCGACATGGGAATGATCTCATTGTTTCTAATAATGATAGCCCTGCAGACATAAAAAAAAAGGAAAAGTAATGTACATGCAACCGTATATTCAAAAGAACAAGCAGCTCTATTAGTTGACGCTCCAACTCATTCTCCCAAGACAAGTTCACATGGTCACAAACGGGCTAAGGGAATGTGAAATGGCAAGAGATTTACTTTAAACATAATTCATTCTATTTTAATCATACTGCTTTACAGACCCTTTGAGTGAACAGAAGATAAGCACACACACCTGCTGTCACCTGCATTCCCAACGTATAGTTTTCCTAGAAGGTAAACCACAGTGAGGGCTGTACATCCTCCTGTAATGTTATAGACTTGCTTCTCCTTCTCAATCTGGGCATCCTGGGAAAGGGAGATATGGAGAGACGTTTTTGTCAGTCTTTAATGAAACATCACTTAAGACAATAGGAAAACCACCCACATCCACCCACATGTGACAGTAAAAATTAAAAATGTCAAGCTAAAATCGACACCGCAAGCATCCCACACAGGCAGTCTGGGCCTTCTTCTATTCAATAACATAAATAACTATGACTATATGGCTATATGGGAGAGATGGAGAAAAATAAGACTGAGAAAACATGATCAACTATTGAGAAAGACAGGCAATGTGTAGGCATCGTTGTAAAGTATTGATTGGTTTAACCTGAACCTCTTGTTGGCTGCATGTCCGTAAACAAGAAGTTGTCTTGCATTAATAATGTAGATGGTGATATATGAGATGGTTTGTATCTTGACTTCACATGTTAGGTTCATGAAGCTCTCTACTGATTGTACATCCAAACATTAAGTGCACATGTATTTGTTACTTGAACTCCTTCTTTTTCTACTCCAAACCACCGAACAGGAATATAAGGGTGGGTCAATGTAGTAATGCATCTGCACATCTTTATGCCGATGATACTATTGTATATTGTTGTGCAAGCACTGTTGCCTTGGCATTTAAACATTTACAGTCTACATTTGACACTAATCAGTTGCACTTGTTCTGTCTTAGACTAGTGTTTAATGCAGACAAAACCAAGGCTACGTTGTACAGCTACTCTGTTTCCTACATTAACGCCCCAGCTCACTTTCTTTGTCTGTTGGACGCCGTCTATCATGGAGCACTGAGATTCATAACTGGTAGTAAACACTATTGTACTCTAGTGACTCAACTGGTGATTGTTTTGCACTGGTATAACTTCATTTAGAAATCCTTGGACTGCTGCTCACTTTTTTATCCCCTTGTCACATAAACAGTGCTGCCACAGCCTATGCTCCCAGGGCTTCATCACTCTCTCCATCCCCTCAGTCCGTACAGAATTTGGTAAAAAAGTTCTCTACTACTCTGCTCCCTCAAACTGGAAGACGCTGCAGCAGGAACAGAAGCTGTCCAGCATGAGACCCTAAGACAATCTGACAAGAGACCCTCTGAAGGGGTTTGCTCTTGTATATTGTATTTAAGATCTGACAACTACTTTGGCACTTTTATGCTATGTATTATATTTTGTTTATGTATTGGATGTTGTGTATGTCTCTAACTGTGCATTATATTGCTACTGTTCTGAGGGGAGCTTTCATAGTCTCTCTTTTCTAATCTGGGTACAACAGGGTGCAGCTTGAGCAGTGTGGGCTGTTTTCCATTGCCATCTAGTGGTAATATCGCATAGACACATAGACGCATGTCTTCTCAAAGCAATTTAAAAGAAACATACAAGGGAAGGGAAATGCCAAGGAAACACACAACTGAACCATATATAAAATAATTTTGATAAGATGTAGACTGCAGATCTCTGTAAGAAATAAAAAGTTTGGGATACATTTGGTAACATAAAAAAGTAAACTGCCCTGTGGCTGTTCTTTCAATAACAGACACAATTTTCAGCTAAATGCCTTTAATTAAAAAGAAAATTATTTGAGACATATTTAGTCAGATGCTGCCTTTGAACTAGATAGAGAGACAGAAATCCACAGTCTAATGTGTACGGTTGAGTGGCATTTAGCCAGGAGCTATCATTTCATAACCGAGCTGTCGGAGGCCAAATGTCTAAATAAACTATAAATAGAGACTCTAAAGCATGATAATCTTTGTGTACATCTCTGTAAAGTGTGTGTGTGTTGGTGAATATCTGTGCGATTGCCCTAAGGCCAGAATATCAGTGTGTGAGGAAGTATAGCATGTCATATTAAGACAGCCAACATAAAAAGGAATTCAGCATTTATACCAGCTTATTTGTACTTGTATGCATGTGTTGGTAACTAAATCTTCTCTACACAAATGATGACTGCGTACACTGCAAAAACACACAGTTTTACATGTAATTTACTCCGGTGCTCTTATTTTCCTTCAAATAAGAAACAAATGGAAATCATAGTTAGACGATTCCAAGTCGTTTTAATTAAATAAATTCTAGGATTTATAAATCAAAATGTATCTCGACCGGTAAAATGTACTCAACTAACCACCAATAAACTAAACAGCATCTCAATGATAATCAACTTTCTATTGACCATCAGCTACAGAGAAACGCATTTCTACTCATAAAACATAACCAGGAGTTCTTCCTTTATCCTAATCTTTGCTAGATTTTTATGTGCCTAATAAGCATGGGGCAACATGATCATTGCGATTCCTTTCCCATTCCTTATATTTTGTGAAGAAACTAATGTTTTTATCTCAATCTCCATGTTGTTCAGTTTGGAAACCATAGTATTTCCACACAACTAATTTAACCTTTTTTGAGGGGGATGCAATGGACAAGCTAAGCCTTCATGGCGACAGGGTTAGGAATTTGGAATGATTGGAAAAATGCTGTGTACCCCCTAGTGGCAAATCAATATAAACCATGAATAATTAAATTTTCAACCAAACTTGTTTCAAGTCCTCTACTAAGAGTGATTTTCTTGATTAATCGATTAATTGTTTAGTCTGTAAAATGTCAAGAGCCTACGGTGACATATTTAAATCATAGTTTAAACCCAACAACATTTGACTGAAAGAATATGAAGGAAACCAACAAATATTCACATTTTAGAGGCTGGAACCACAGACTTAAAGAAGTTCAGTGCGTATGATTTAGTGGCATGTAGTGATGTAGTTGCAGATAGCAACTCACTCGCTTCACCCTCTCTTTCAAAGCTCGAGGGAGAAACTATGGTGGCGGCAAAATGCGACAATGTAGAGCCAATGTTTGGATTGCCCGTTCTGGACTACTGTAGAAACACAGCAGTTCAACATGGCAGCCACCACAGAAGGCAGAAACAGCTCATTCTAAGGTGACGAAAACACAACAATTCTTATTTTCAGGTGAATATACACATGAAAACATACCAATGCATATTATATTCCATTTCAACCCCATTAAATATAACACACTGGAGCTTAAAAGAGTAATTGATCATCAGAGTTGATGCCGATTAATTTGCTGTCGTGATCAATTCATTTTCTAATTACTTCAGCTCTAAATTTGCGTAGATGCACTTTACAACTAAATCACAAGCCATTTCTTTAACATTTATGGCCAGTGAACTGAAGAAAAGGTCGTATTATAATGGATTGTGTGTGTTTTCATGGCAAATATTTTCACTTGGTCATAGGTCACAGGTGTAACTAATAACATTGATAATGATGCTGTTACAGTAGGTGTCCGATTTGAGTGGGTCAAAAAGCAAAATATGAGGTCCCTGAAACATGTTCATGTAAAAGGAAGGCAGCCATTGTTAGTTATTAATCTCACCTGTGATTTTCCTGTTATGAAACGTCTAAATGTCAT